CATGGATTGGCTACCACAGAGTCCAGACCTTAACCCCATTGAGAATCTTTGGGATGTGCTGGAGAAGGCTTTGCGCAGTGGTCCGACTCTCCCATCGTCAATACAAGATCTTGGTGAAAAATTAATGCAACACTGGACGGAAATAAATCTTGAGACATTGCAGGAGCTTATTGAAACAATGCCACAGCGAAAGGCGGTCCAACGAATCATTACCTTTTTTTGGCCAGGCAGTGTATAATATGTAACATTTCTTCATTAAAATGTCTTAAAAGGACTGGACCTATGTAATGTATTTTTTTGACGTGTGTACTTCCATCATCCCAAGTTTCTCCAACAATGTTCAAACACAGATAAATCGATAGTGTTAGCCATTTAGCTGTTTAGTCATTTTTTTTGTCCCTTCCAATATTTGTGCTGGTCACTTGAAACTTTATTCATTGCCATTTGCTATGTAAGATGAATAAAACCTTAATACATCATTTCATCTGTGAACATAATCTGCATCTGAGTTGCATCAGATTTTCATTTGCATTGGTGGTGAGGACAACAACTCCCATGATCCCACGCTGCTTTGTCACACTAGGTCTTTTGTAATTGTTTCAGTTGAGAGATCTCTAGCGACTGAAGTTGCTTATTGTATGTTCAACACTGATAAATTCAGCTCATCTGCCTCTGTGTGTATGTTGGGGTTGATATCTGATGAAATCTGATTCAGTGGTTGGTGAATGTGGATTTCTGCTCCTGGTTTTAAAATGGACAGTACCATGTACTTTCCCCACTGCCCTGCCAACCTCGAACCATTCATCCAAGCTGACACTGGAGGAGAGGGGTACACCGTAGACAGGTCGCCAGTCCATCACAGGGCCGCATACAGAGACAAACACTCATCCACTCTCACAGTCACTTACAGTCAATTGTGAAAAACATACAAACTGTATGCTGGTCAAACAGGGATTCAAACCAAGAGCCTTTTGCTGTGAAGCAACAGAACGAATTCTGATGGAGAGAAAAATAAATATTGGACATGTCATGGGAAATATCCAGATAACATAGCCACATCCCATCACTCATGGTAAGAAGCTGATTGAAAGAAATACAATTTTGGGGCCTTAAAAGTTACAATACAGGGTCTATTTATCTTTGCAGGGAATGATGAGATCAGAGCTTTGCCTCAAAATATCAGCTCTGCAATCTGTGCACACAGTATTTGGCAAGGATGACGTTCAGCAAAAATAGACAAAAAATAATAAAACATTTTTTACGTTACGTAAAATTAAAGAGAGTTTTACATACATTTTTAATAGTATAATAGTCAGGCCCTGTACTCGATGAGAATAAGAGGGTAAAGCCTCCCACCTGTATTCAATCCCAGTCTGCACATGCCCAAATAGAGTTCTGTCTAATCAGGCAATGTAACACCAGTGTGGATAGCCTGTGTGGTTAAATGGTGGGTTTAAAGTTCTGTTTATTAAAACCTTCACATCTTTTTAGATTTAGTTTTAACTCCTCGGTGTGGTCTGTAATATGTTATACATCAATGTTACTGGAGGACTTCTGTTCACTCATTCAGTCTGGTTTTTAAGACCCGTAAAAAGCTTAGAACATGTCCTGATTCTGCTCTGCATTGTGAGAGGTGGGACAATGTGTGTGTGTGTGTGCGTGCATGGGAGTGTGCGCGCATGTGGAGTGAAGTGTGTTACAAGGAAAGATTGGATCTGACCCATTAACTTTACAGGCCACTCATTGAGCACCAATGCAGCAGGGGTCAGGAGGGAGATTTCTCTGTAAATCTCTACAACGATCACAATGATAGACCAGAGACAGAGGCAGGGAGGGAGGGAGGGAGGGAGGGGGGTAGCGAGAGGCAACTCCTATGTCCAAAGCCAAGATAAGTTTTACTTCAGGGTATCATTTGCTGTCAACCAGTCAGCTAGACTTCATTTTCCTCCCTTACGCATTTAAACACCCCACAAAAAAGAGGGGTTTTGACAGCTCAGCCATCATTAAAGAAAATGATGAGTGTATGGGGCTTGTGTTTCAGCACGCCCCTCTCATGTTTCTGTCTTAAGAAATGCTGTTTTTTGATGTGGCCTTTCTGATCAGCCATGCCCTGAAACTCAAAATATCACCTCAAAAATAAAAAGATGGCTAAGGCCGCTCACATGAGAACACTCTGCGCCATAAGGAAAACACAAACAGGACGTGTGTTGTAAAGGAGGTGAAGCGAGATGGGGGAAAAGTCACTGTACCAAACATTTGGCCTTGGGCCAGGCTGTTTCCTGCTCTTCTTTATTTGCCTCGTGGCACAGCGTCTCCTAGGCTCGGTCACACCTCAGATCCAACTAGCTCCAACTGCCAAACCCCTGCAGTGTTCTTCAGCCATTATCTAATGCACCCACCCCCTCTCCATACCATCTCCCTCTTTCTTTTTGACATCAAATCACACTCTGCAACAAATCTTTCTACTGTAGATCATTAATAATTTATTCTCCCTGACCATGCTCTCCAATGAATAATTGCTACCCTTATTCATGTATCTTATAATCCATTACCTGAGGAGCATCTGCTCTGATAACTCAATAACTCTTAAAAAAAACCATTTCACTTTTCCCCCTTCTTTATCTTCAACTCTCTACAGACTAAATTCCCCCTTGACCATAATTACACATTTATTAGACCTACTTTAATAATAGCACAGAACAAGCATTACATTCAAACCTCTGGAAGTGCAACTCAACATCAATCATATTGATCATACAATGATCTACAAAGCAGGACTTTGCTTTGTCGGTGAGCCTCATTTGTTGCAGCAGAATTAATTAGCACAGACTTGGGGCTCTAATGCACTTTGCATTTTGCTTAGACAATCAGATATTGTGCAGTGCAAACCCAATCATGTAATGGCCTTAGCCTGGGAATAGTGGATGGTCCAATCATCACCCTTGCCTCAGAGTGCCTTTTTCTAGCCTTGACGTTTGATGTGTTATTGCTGCTTTCAGTTTTGTGTTTTCCAGGCTGGATGGTTTGGTGTGTAACTGACGAGTAGCTCTCGCTGTAGCTCACTGAGGTTGAACTCTGTTCTTTAGTGCCTGGGCTTTTTTTTTTCAGTTTATCTTTGAGCTTTGCTGCAGAGGACAAGGAACTCTGGGTCAGTTGTGTCTGACCACTTCCTTTGGGAAAAACAAACACCTCCAATGTGCATGAAAATGTCTGGTCTGCCATATTTGCATTAAAATCTTTCTTTGTACTTATTCACGGGTACAAAAACTCATAATGTTTCTTTGTTTATGAAGCATGACCTCCCCATCAAATGAGCACAAGTCTTGTCCAGGCTTTAAGATATTTGGGGAAGAGTAAGCGACTCCTTTTTTCACAAACAGCAGATTAATTGTCGTTGAGGTCTCAGGGTTAATTACTGCCCAAGAAACCAGATCAGCAACAAATTTCATTACATTATCTGTGTGTGTGTGTGTGTGTGTGTCTGTGTGCACATGCCATTATATTTGTATCACATGTAGACTCACTCGAACACACACGGTCATTTAGTGAAGCAGCAGAGCACAGGGAATAATTACAGTGTAGGACAGGTCACAGGGCCAGTGGTTCACCTCAACCCTCAACACTGCAGTTATTCAGGACATCTGGGACAATGAGAGGGACTGCACTCACAGGCCAACTTCATCTACCAGGCTAAGAATATTAATTACTCACAGGGCAGCACAACAGTGCAGATTAGACTGTAATTGGTAGGTTTGCCTGCAAACTCCATGAATCAGCAAGAACACAATTGCAGTCATAGTCAGGTTCTTTCAATCACAAACAATAAAATGGTAAAATTTTAAAGTTAAGTAAGAATGCACTCGGTAGGGAATGTGAATTTTACGGTCATATAATGGAGAATGTGTAGGGAAGGAGAGGAGGGGGTTGGTGACATTCCAGGACATTATGTTGCATCACATGACCTTAACCTGTTTCAGATCTGCTATCTGCAAAGAGCTCAGTGTTGCTGCTGCTCACATGCATTGATTAAACTTTCAGTGATCTCAGTCCTGTTTAAATCTGCACTCAATCTTGGACACACAAGTTTAAGATGCAACTTTGTGCTAACCTCAGCTAAGGTTAGGTTTTCATTAGTGTCTGTCAGTTGTCAGGATTATGAACCACTTGTCCTGAAACTTGGTGGAAGGGTGGGCACCAGAAGAGCTCATTAGCAGAGTGGAATCGATTAATAGGACACATCCAGGAATTTTTCTTCACTTCACTGTACGACAGGACCTTTTTTTGGTGTATTTTTA